TATATTTTAAAAAACATTCTCTAAATAGCGGCATATTTATAAAGATCAAACAATAGAAAAGATGCATAGGGCAAAAGTGAATGTCTCATCCGCTAGTCTCCAGAAGCAGCACGTCGTTGTGTCTCCTGGGGCGATCCTATTTCAATGACAAACAAATACAAATATTTTCCTCACTACAGACAATACTGCAAAAAATATTCATGTGCAAATTCCTTTGGCCACATATAGGGGAGAAGTGGAATTGCCCTTGCAAGGCAAAGAGACCTCTGTATTTTCGTTTGGAAAGATACTGTTAAGTTGTTTTTCGATGGGGTTGTGCTGTTGATATAACCAGCAGTGTAACACTGGTTTCCCCAAACCTTTGCCACCCTGATGTTACCACGGTTTTCTGCAAATGTATTTTCAGTTTTAAATTTCGCTTAATCTGGTGAAAAAATTTAGAAACCATTTGTATTTCTTTTCTTATTTTCTGCAAATCTTTTTTGTCCTGTTGATTTTTTAGTAGCTCTTCCTCTATCAAGGAAGTTAGTTTAACCAGGTAGTGTATCTTCTTTGATGCTATGCAAATGACCATGCAAATGGAGAATCTTTCAATATAGTTTGCAGCTTTTTTTGCACATAGGAAACAAGTTTATTATTTTTTTCATTTATTTTATTTTTTCCCCATCACCATTTATCCCTGCCATACCCTTTTCTACCTCCACCCACTCTAGGAACCTAATTTAAATATTCATTAAATCCCTTGTTTATTGAATTCTCTTATTAAAATAGCTTTTTAAAATGGTGATGGAAGAGCCCTGGCCATTGTGGCTCAGTTGGTTAAGCATTACCCCATGCACCAAAAGGTCAAGGGTTCAATTCCCAGTCAGGGCACATGCCTGGGTTGTGGGCTTGATCCAAAGTAGGGGGCAAGCAGGAGGCAGTTGGTCAATATTTCTCTCACATTGATGTTTTTCTCTCTCTCCCATCCTCTCTCTAAAAATCAATAAAAACAGTGAAAATATAAATAAATGGTGATGGAAGGAGCCTTGACTTGGGGTGGTGAACACAATACAGTAGACAGATGATGTGTTATAGAATTGTACCCCGCCGAGACTGGTTTGGCTCAGTGGATAGAGCGTCGGCCTGCGGACTGAAAGGTCCCAGGTTCGATTCCGGTCAAGGGCATGTGCCTTGGTTGTGGGCACATCCCCAGTGGGGAGTGTGCAGGAGGCAGCTGGTCGATGTTTCTCTCTCATCGATGTTTCTGACTCTCTATCTCTCTCCTTTCCTCTCTGTAAAAAAAAAAAAGAATTGTACCCCTAAAACCTATATAATTTTATTAACCAATGTCACTCCAATTAATTCAATAAGAATTAAATAAGTAAAAATAAAAAAATAGACTTTTTGTCTTTCATATAGTCGTATCACTTGTAAATATTTTGCCTCTTTTCTAATTTTCCAGTGTCGTGTATTTTCTTGTCTAGTTGCATTGAACACCTCCTGACAATGTTAAATCATTGGGGGAGGTGGGTGGGCCGTGGGCATCCCCACCTCTTCACTTTGATGGCACAACTTTCATTATTTGCCCATTAAACTCAATGCTGCCTTTACCTTGAGGTTTTGCAATTAAATGAGGGGGGAAAAAAATCTCTCTTCCTTATTTTGTATACTCTTTTGGATATTGTTCAGCAACAGTGCAAAGCACCATTTCACCGTTTACTCTGGTTGTTTCCTGATGCATTCATGTGGCTACTGACAGGCTCCTCAATACCGAACCACTCCTGGGTCTCAGGCACGAGTCTCCTTTAAATATATATATATTGTCCCACAGTGCCTGCTCATGTGCCCATGTGCTCAGGGCAGGGTCTCCACGAACCCCCCCGTTTGCTGAATGACTGTGTGAAGCATCTGCAGTGTCCTGAGAGCTTAGGCTGGGCTGAGCACTTTCCATAAATTATTCCCTTTCACTGCAAGGAAGGCCTAGCACTGATGCCCCCTCTTCTAGGCATGGCCCCATTCCTCCCCCACCCTCCCGACTCCACAGGGCTGAAGGCATTGTTAGTTGGCTCTGAGACTGGGGGTGGGAGGGGGGCTCCCACCTTGTCCAGGGGAAAATAGGGTTGCAAGGAAGGCCTAGCACTGATGCCCCCTCCTCTAGGCATGGCCCCATTCCTCCCCGACCCTCCCGACTCCACAGAGCTGAAGGCATTGTTAGTTGGCTCTGAGTCTGGGGGTGGGAGGGGGGGCTCCCACCTTGTCCAGGGGAAAATAGGGGGGTTGCTGAGTCACTATCCCTGTCCCCAGCCTAATCTCCCCCTTCTGCTCATGTAGTCTTTGTGGCTCTCGGGGGCCTCCAAGGGCCTACCCATCTTGTCCACCCCAAAGGGTACCTCTGGAGAGGGGTGGAGGGCAGACAGAGGGCAGAAAGGGTGGGCCAGTCTGGGGCTTCTTATTTTTAAATATATTTTTATTGATTTCAGAGAGGAAGGGAGAGGGAGAGAGAGAAACATCAATGAGGAGAGAATCACTGATCAGCTGCCTGCCTCCTGCACGCCCCCTACTGGGGATTGAGCCTGCAACCCCGGCATGTGCCCTTGACCGGAATCAAACCTGGGACCCTTCAGTCTGAAGGCCGATGCTCTCTCCACTGAGCCTAACCAGCTTGGGCCAGGCGGGTCTTTATTTGAGTTTGGGCATGATGCGGATGAAGAGGATCATGGTGATGAAAATGAAGCAGACAATGATAAGCATCGCCCAAAGCAGCCAGTTGACGGATTTCTGTGCGTGCTGCTCCAGCCGTTCTGATTCCGTCTTCAGCTTCTCCAGGTTCTGGTCGGCCATCTTGAGCGAGTGCGACAGGGTCTACGGGTGAGAGTATAGAGAGGACTGAGGTGGCATGTGGACTCTCGCTACTGCCCTGGGGCAAGCCAGCACCTCTTGGCCCTGGCGGGCGCGGGTTCCTCAGCTGGGAATCTTGTCTGCTACCAAATTTGCATTTATCCAGCCAAGTCCCAGCCACAGTGCCCGTCTACTGGGACACCTTCTCTGATGCCCCAGGGCAGGAGCCACAGCTCCCACAGTCCTCACACCTGGTTGTCCTTCTTGATGACACTCTGGGCGGCCAGTGTGTTGGTCTTAAGGCTCCGGGCCAGGCCCAGCATTTCTTCTGCCAGCTTCTCCTGGAGGCTCTGGTGCTGCTGCAGGACGAGGTCCAGCTCGGCTGCCGACTGCTTCTCATCCCCGGGCCTGGGACCTGCCACCCCACTGACCTCACACACGGTGGACAGACATGAGATGGGAGTGGGGTGGGGGAAAAGACAAACATGTTCCCAGGGAACCCAGGGGTTATGGCTGCAGCCACTGCCCCACTTGGGACTGTTTCCCCTTCTTTGCTTTGGCTTCTGGGTAAAGCATTCCCAGAAGTGGCATCTGATGGGTGATTTAGACGCTTGTGGTGGCGCCTCAGTGGTCCAAGATTTGTCCAGCCCGCCCCCGCCCCCCCCTCGCCCGGTGCTGCCCAAGGGCTGAGGATACTCACGTTCTCTTCCTCACATCCAGCTTGGGCTCTGGAAGAGGAACAGGCCAAGGAGAAAGGAGGAGAGGATTGGTTCTCTGCATTCTGGTTTCTTGACCATTACCTGGGATGGGTCTGCTACACATAGGCCTTTCCCAACTTGCCTGCTGCCCAGCAGACTCCTGATCACTCCTCAAAGCTCTAGCGCAAATGCCCTTTTGTCTGGGATGTTTCCCTCACCCCCATCTGGGCTTCCCCTGGCCCCAGGTCCCTCCCTCTGGTTTCCTCTGGGGACCACTTCCTCTGTCCCAGCTGCCCTCTCCAGACATGACGCGGAAATGCCCCCAAGGACACTCCCTGGGCTGTGGAGGACCCTGTGGGAGCCGGATGAGGCACAAGGGATGGGGAGCAGCAAGGTCACATGTTATGTCCCAGGCAGTTGGGACTTGCGTCCTGTTCTGCTCAGGGTCACTCACCTCCAGCAGAGTCCTGTGGGAAAAAGGGACAGGCAGGAGGTCACCTACCTTGTCAGGCCCCCAAACCTGTCCTTTCTGCTCTCAGGACCTCTGTATCCTTAGTCAGGGCCCCGGGCAAGTCCCATAACCTCTGACCCTCAGTTTCCTCAACTATTAATGATGACAGCAGCTCATATTTTGAATGATTTAGCGGATCTATGGAAAGTTCTCAGAAAGGGATCTGTCATCCTATTTTACAGATGGAAAAATCTTGTCTATCGGTGGCAGGTGGCAAGCCAGGAGCCAAATCTTGCACTTAACCAGACATGGGCACCTTTTGCCACGTACCAAACAAATTCCTCTTCCTTTAGCAAAACCTTGACCAGAATGCCCCTCTGGTGGGAAGCCTTGTTTCATGGCCCAGGGCAGAGGCCCCTAGGGTCCCTGTACCTGACAGAAGGGTTCCCAAGGACCAGGGAGGGTGCCCTACCATGCCCAGCAGCTCACTCCGCATCTCGCTGGTGTACCGTGCCCGTGACTGCAGATGGACCGTCTTGGTGGCGGGCACCCGCTCCCTGGCCGTGGTGGGCACTCGGCCGGGGGCCAGGAACTGGTTGGCTAGTGCCTTCTCGGAGGAGGACGTCTACAGGAGGGAGAGGAGGCGTCACAACAGGAACAGGTCCTGGGGACTCGGAGAGGGTGCCTGCTGAGGGCTGAGGAAGCTGTAGAAGGGGTGCCTGTGCTCACCAGCTTCTCCGCCTGCAGCATCCCCTTCAGAAAGTCCACCTTGCGGGAATATTCATTGATCACTTCACAGGCCGGTTTGCTGGAGGGCGAGATGCAGAAAAAGAAAGCCTGTCCGCTGTCCCCAGTTCAGAGAAAGGTCCCAGCAAGGACTGGAGCCTCGGGCCCCCTACAGCACCTGCCCCCCGCCCCCCGCGACCTCTACCCTCCGATATGAACCTTCTGGACGTCTGCACTCACCTCGTCTGGACTTTCAGGGCCTGCAGCATGTCCTCGAGGGCTCCCACATACTGGGGAACACAAGTGGGTGTCAGCCGGCACACCCCTTCCTCCCCATCTTGCTCGAAGCGGGCAGAGCCAAGGAGGGGTTAGGGGCTGGAAAACGGAAGGGGCCCATGTCGAGGAGGCGGGGACCAGCTGAGCCCCAGGGACGAGGGTGGACGAAG